AATACAAGTATGTCAAAAATGACATATAACAGTCACCTGCAAATCTACATTAATAGAGCATTCGAGTTTCAAATTGACCCCATTGTAAAAAGTCATTACAAGTTCTCTTCAAATACCGAAGGATCCACAATGGTTCAATAATTATAGCTTTGATTTCCCATATACCTACCAACTACCACTGCTTGTGTTATGTTAGGTCTGGTGCTAACCATAGCAAACACGAGGCTCTCTACTGTTGATAAATATGACACTTGAGACATAGGTGTCTTCTCTTCTTCAGTGCTAGATTGTTTCAAACAATGACTTCATATTTATAGGGAAGGATGTACTAATTGGTTTAGCATTATGCATATAGAAGCATTGCAGAACACCCTTCACATAACTCTTCTAAGTCAACTAGGTTTTTTTCTCTTCATTTCTCTAAGAATTTGATTAATGATTGCCATATCTTTCATCTCAAATTCCATAAAGAACTGAGCTTTATGTGTTGCAATGTTATTTTTATTTGGTCCTGCAACAACCATGTCATTCACATATAATAACAAGATAATAAAGCTTCCAACACCCTAATCACAGAAATAGGCACAATGATCAACTTCGCATTTATGAAAATTAAAACTCAGGATGAAAGAAATAGATCGTTTGAATCAACACTACGACGCTTATTTCAACCCCTACGACAATTTATTGATCCTACTGACCAAATTCTCTTTTTATTTCTCAATAAAACCGACAAGTTGGATCATAAAAATTTATTCTTTCGAGTCCTGTGTAAATATACAATTTTCACATCTAATTGCTCCATCAAAATCAAGAACATCTACCATAGCCATAGGAACTCTAATAGTGGACATGCACACAACATGTGAAAAATTTTCATCAAAATCATACCTGATTTTTTAGCATAAGTTTTTACAACCAATCACACACCATGGAGACTTTTCTTCTTCTTGAAGTCCTACCTACAACCAATTACCTTTCGCCCCGCTGGTAATTCGATAAGATCCCTTTTCTTATTTTTTTGTATTAGTCCGCCATCTTCTCTTCCATGGAAGCTCTTCTTTGACCGGCTTCATCTACCTCACATACCTCACAATAAGAAACTAGTTCAGCCTAATCTGTTAAGCAAGCATAAGATAAAACATAGTTGTTAAGCCTCACATGAGTCTTTTTAAGTTTTTCAGATCTTTTAATATCACCTAAATATTCTTTAAGCTCTTGGATAATTATAAACTCTTGTTCCTTATCCCATTGTATCATTAACATAGACGAGCAATATTTTCTTCGCTAAAAATAAAACTTAGTTCCCTTTTTCTTTAAAATCAAAGAATTTGGATTACATATTAAAAACGTGGGAGTAAAGAATAATCAAGAGGTTTATCGGTCGAAACATCTTTTGGTATCTTTTAGTTAATATGCACATTAAGAGACCTATTGATTAGAAAACAAACAGTACGAACTGTTTTTGCCGACAAACATTGTTCTAAACCTGCAACACCCAATACTCATTACAAATTTTATTAAATTCTTCATATCAAAATTCTCCCTTATTATCAGTTCTAAGACACTTGATGTTGTTGCTCTTATGACTTTTTACTAATGCCTTGTAATCTTTGAAAACTTGAAGGCATTTGACTTGTTTTTCAGCATATAAACTTACACTCTTTTTTAAAGTTATAAATAAAAGTGATAAAATCTATTGCCACCCATTGAAACAACAGGTGATTTCCAAATTTCTGAATGAATAAATTTCAAAAAGTTCCTTACTTCTAATGGTGGATAAAGCAGAAATATTTTAATAAGGTAGAAGGTTTTTGTTGATAAGTACCTTGAGTCCATGCTCGCTCATGTGACCTAAATGTACATGCCATGTTATGATAGAATCTACCTCTGTAATATCGGTATCTCCCAAAACTATTTCTATGCAAATTGCCAGTTAACTATCATTTTGCAACCATTAATGCTTCCTTTGAAAGTTTTAGAAATTTATAAGAGAGTCGCTCTAAGACTTGGAACATATCTGACACCTGAGATTATACAAATGACTCCATTAAACATCTTGCTTTTCACATCTCCAACTCCCACTATTTTACACGAGTCATTATTTCATGTAAACAATATCACCATCACATGACTGGTGCTTATAGACCAAATTTCTATATAGAGTCATATGAAAGGATTCACCTGAATTAAGTAGCCAATAATACAAAATTTTCTCCCTATCCATAGAATAAAATTTCTCCGTCTTCAGAAAATATAGGTTCTTCTACTAGATTTCCTTGAGACTTTAGAATCAGATTAAGGGCTTTCCTGGATTCCTTTTTTTGTCTAAACCATATTTCTTCACAGGGCCTAACTTTACACAACCTTAATGCTTCACTTTCTTACGCAATCTTGACTTAGATCTTGATTGACCGCTACCTGTAGTTCTCTCTATTGATATACCTTATGGTAAAAACATATTCTTAAAGGAATTCCAACTAGACTTTTGTCTGGATTCCTCTGTCAGAAGTACTGAAAGAACATAATCAAATTCAAGAGATTTCGTACTATTAAGACACACGATGAGTCCATCCCACGATTGTAGCATAGAACAAAGACTTGTGGCCTTATTTTCTTCATCGATTTTCACATCTAGTTTCATCAACTTACTAATTAGGGTATTAGACTCATTTAAGTGCCCTTGTTAGAAGCACTAACACTCATTTTGAGATTATAGAGTTGTCGACGAAGAAAATTTTTATTTGGAAGAGACTTACCTTTATAAGCAATTTCCATTTTTTATATATAATTTTTTGTTGTTTTATCTGAGGAGACATTAAATAGAACAAATTTATCCAAAGTCAAAAGATAATATGCCTCATCAAACACATCATTCTCATCAAATTCTTCATCATCCATCTTTGCATGTTTATTTTTTTTGCTATTTAAATCCACTACATGCTCCCTATCACAAGTCCTAGAACTGGGTCTTTTTCTCTCTAAAACACCTACCCAAATGACTACAAGATAACCTCACCATTTTCTCTTTATTATGCATACTAATTCTCTCTCTTCTTAAAAAGATCATTTATAATATAAAGGATATTTACCCATAAATATAGGAATGCCTTAGCAGATAATCATGTAATCATTTTGCCCCCTCGAGTCGTGGATTGACAGCCAACACTAACGTTATAAACTAATAACTCCTCCGCTAAATTAGTTACAAACAAATTTGTATAAGGTGTCAACTTTATACTATTGAAGTAAGACACCTTAAAGACCCATGGGACAAGGTTGTTCCAATACTGTAAACCCATCAAACCGATT